GCATCAACGTTATCCTGAATGTCATGGGCGGTTTTCCAGCCATGCCCCATGACCCCTTGGGCGCGCCCCGTGGCGTCCTAGCGAACCTCCCAATGCCTAGCGCCACGGACGGCCCCGTGGTCTGGCCGCGCCAAGTGACAAGCGCGCAGGTGCCTCTGTCGCCCCACCGATATTCCTCGCGAGCGCCATGCCGCAGGCAGAAGCCAACAGCGCCGCGCGCGCAGACCGTGATGCCAAAGACACTGCTGCTGACAACGGGCCTGCTGCTGCCTTATAGAAAACTAAGTCATTTTCATTGTAAATATAGAGTAGTTTATTTCATGCACTTCCATTATGTTTCTCTAGCTTAATTAGGTCTACTCCTGTAACTTTGGTTTATTTTTTTTAAGTACTATTAGGGGGGATCAAGCAATCAAAACTTTCTAGCAAGCAAGCAATTCTCTGTACTGGTGTCTCTCCCCCTCGACACCGCGTTGCTTTTCTGTAATAGCTTTCATTAATGCAATCAAGCTTTCTTTCATTCTGAATTCTCATTTCTGTTCTCTCAATTGCTCTTGACATTGGTTTTCCCGTACGGCACTGACAATCTCGTCTAGCGTACGGAGGGGACCTCAGTTGGCGGACAGCAACTGGACTGACATCAGTTGCCTAGCCGTACGTCGCCCTTCCAAGGAATCTCAGGAAGGCGCCGCGTATCATATCTCATGTACTTTTTTATTTCTGATTCACTGTTACTTAAACATATGCAGCACTACCTGAAAAATCTGAGGGATACATTCAAGTGTTCCTCGATGGAGGATTAAATCAACAAAGGATGGCGGTACGTATCATAAGTGTTCTCTGTTTATGGGGACAACATATATGAGAAATGCTTATTATAGGAATGTTTGTGCCGTGAATACCGTTTCTTAACAAGTGTTATGAGATGGTTACTAACATGTGTACTTCTTGAACAAGATCTGTGATGCAGTTGTTGTTGCCAAGATCCTGAATGCTACACTTGTGATCCCTTATTTGGAAGTAAATCCTGTTTGGCAAGATTCAAGGTTGTTGTAATATATTGCTACATTGATTATTTATTTTCGGGTTTTTAAATACTCAATACAAGGTTTTTTCTTTAATAACGGTGGTGTCCGGGCTGCCTTGCACTCACCTCGACTATTCCATTGGATACCTGCGTCCTTCCACAAGTACATAATACAAGTTATCTGCTACTACCTGCAGTACATTCAAGGATATCTTTGATGTCGATCATTTCATCAATGTATTGAAAGATGATATAGCAATAGTTAAAGAGCTGCCCGATGAATTCTCTTGGAGCACACGAGAGTATTATGCAACTGCTGTTCGACCTACCAGAATCAAGACAGCACCAGTTCATGCTTCGACAAACTGGTATTTGGACAATGTATTGCCTGTCCTGCAGAGGTAGCTCACGCGATTGATTTTTGTATTAAAAATGTTTTGTTGAATTTATTTTATAGCTACCTATGAGTTCAATTTCTCAATAAAGCAGGATAACATATCAGAAGTAGAAGGTCTAATTACTTAAGAGTAAGTGCTTTTGAGTTTATAAAAAGAAAAGCTTCAACATGTCTACAACCTAGCATTAGTATAACTGCTACATACTGAGAGTATTTAAGAGTTTTTGAATTTTTAGAAAAAAGCTTCTAAAATTCTACAACATAGCACTAGCTGCACTTATATTCTTTGTCATGCTAGACGCAAGGCCTTTCAGTTATAATACCTAAGAAACAGATGGTTGCATATTTCCTTCATGTGAGTTAGTTTAGTTAGTTATTATGACCCGGATTGTGACCTTAAGTAAAGTTTACATGACCAATTTGGCAAAAGGTTTGCCTGTGTTAAATTTATTCTTAGTATAAACATGTTTCTTTTGAACAGATAGCTATTCTGTATTCATGGCTTTTGGCTAGAATTTTGAAGTCGCTCGTTAAAATAAATTTTCATTTTCTGAATGATTCAGTTATGGGATTGCTGCCATAGCACCATTTTCTCACCGACTGACATTCGACAACTTGCCTAAGTACCTCCAACACCTTCGATGTAAAGTGAACTTTCAAGCACTAGCCTTTGTTCCTCACATAAGACATCTTGGAGATGTCCTTCTCAGTCGCCTCAGAGATCCTTCTGCGAAAGGTGGTAGTAATTACCTGAGAGAGGTTAGTGAGAAGTACAAGCTAGGAGCAGGGAAGTTTGTTGTTCTGCACCTCCGCTTTGACAAGGTAAAACACTCTTCTTTGAGCAGTTAGTTATCAGGATTATAGTTAAAATTCTGCTCCTCGCACTACAATGAATTATCAGCCTGAAGTAAATTGGAAGTTTTAACTTGCGGATCCTGCAGTATCTCCTGATCAAATAACTAGTCTTATCATTTCCACAGAGTTTTGTTGTCCTTGAAACCTGTTAAAGTGAACATCAATACGTCCTTCTCTGGTCCACTTTTTTTTTCCCCAATAAATTGTTTAATTTTGAGCTTTCAAATCTTGCCTCCATCCACAATGTAACCTTGTTATCTTTCCAGGATATGGCTGCACACTCAGCGTGTGATTTTGGTGGTGGAAAGGCTGAAAAACTGGCATTAGCCAAATACAGGCAAGTGATTTGGCAGGGAAGAGTCCTAAACTCTCAATTTACTGATGAAGAGTTGAGAAGTCAAGGACGGTGCCCGTTGACTCCAGAAGAAATTGGATTACTGCTGGCAGCTTTGGGATTTGACAACAGCACTCGATTATATCTTGCCTCCCATAAGGTCGCCACGTCAACCGTAGATCTCTCTATTTTTTCTACTTTTCAAAATTTTCCCTGGTGTTTGAGGTGCAAGATTATCTTAAACCTGTACTTTTGTTTTCTAAAATTACTCTTTCTATGTCAATGTTTCCAGGTTTATGGTGGGGAAGCTCGGATCTCAACTCTGAGAAGTTTGTTTCCGCTGATGGAAGACAAAAGGAGCCTTGCTTCTTCAGATGAAAGAGCTCTTATTAAAGGGAAGGCTTCCTTACTGGCTGCGGTTGATTATTATGTCAGCATGCACAGTGATATTTTCATTTCCGCGTCCCAAGGAAATATGCACAATGCGATGGTAATCGCCTGCACTTCTAATTATTGAGTTGCAATTTAGCTGCTGTACTGCTTTTCAGAATTTACTTCATAATATTAGGTCTAGGCATTTGAGTTTTTTTCATTTTCGTTGGAAAGACTAGAATCTCTATAAGGATATCCTATTTGATTATCATGTAGCTCAGATCCCCTTGGACTTTATAACCAAAACACGAACCTTGTTTGATATTTATTTGAATCCAATATGCACCGGCTAATCAACTTGAAATCAACAGGTGGGGCATCGAACTTATTATAATCTGAAGACAATAAGGCTTAACATGGCCTTATTAGGCCAGCTTTTCCTGAATAAAACCCTTAGTTGGCCAGAGTTCAAAGAGGCAGTTGTGGAAGGACACAAGAACCGACAAGGGCAGATCAGACTTCGCAAACCTAATCAATCTCTGTATACGTATCCTGCTCCTGATTGCAGTGGCGGATCTAGAGTGCAGCTACCGGGTTCCCGGGAACCCAGTAGCTTTTGCGTAGACCCTATATTTCTATTAAAAATCCACCAAATATTTATGAATATCTAACTGTGAACCCAGTTATTATTGTATATTAATCTGAGAATATAACAGGAACCCATATACTTTAAATCCTGGATCCGCCTCTGCCTGATTGCATGTGCCAGGGTTGAGTGTGCCTTTACAGTATCTTTGCTGATATTAGGTTACCTTTCGTGCCTCCAATGTTAAAATTAAAGCCTGACCCCTTTATCTATAGATATATTTATGTTACCACATGAGAGTTACTGTTCTTGCGCAATATGTATTACAATTTGGTATTAGTCCTGTCATGACCATGATACAGAGAGCATCTTAGGCCAGAGATATCTTGCTATGTTTAGCAGTTTCTTGAAATGAATTGCTGTAAAGAGTGTTTTTCCTTTGGCTGTGGTAGAAATGATCATAAAATACCAAATGACAGCTAGTGAATGGAAATTTTCTTGATTGACATTTTAGAAGATCAATCAAGAAAATTCTAAAAGGTCAATCCTTTTATTACATCTTTTTAGAGGCAGATCAAGGAGATGCTATTGATAATAATATGATAGATCTAGCGCAATTTGTTGACCATGATAAATGATAGATATTCTGATGAAGTTGCTGATCAGCAGCAGTATCCTATCTGGACACAAAGAATTGGTTCAATAGGCCTTACCAAGTTTGATTTATGAAGTTGGTTCTAAAAAATGCAGTCAGTTATGAAATATTATCATAAAGTATGTTGATTATAATCACGTGATTATTATATAGATATGATTTCTATAACAAGGTTGAAGGTTCTACTTTATTAGAGTTTGATGGGATTAGAGCAGGCATTTAGGTGTACATTGCTCAATACAATGAATAATGTATTAGCAATTGTTTGGACTAGAATAGACCCTCTTGCCAAAAATTGATAAGCGTCCACCACTTGACAAGAACATGAGCTCAATCTCATTTCACAGGTCAGGGAGAGAAGGAAAATACTTGGTCAATTAGATCAGTTCAGTATAATAGACTTTTGATACATGAATAACCAAATCCATCAACGAACTGAAATTAGTTCCTTTCATCAAGTTCTTTAACTTTTTATTGTTGAAGAAAATTGAAAAAAATTCAAAGAAGCGCGCTTTTATCAGATAGATAAATCAGCGAAAAAGCATAGTTCAATTTCGATATACTTTTCGTCAGATCGTCTACCTTTATGCTAATTTTGATTTTTAATGTCTTCGATTTATGTCATTTTAAAATAAGTACTCCACAAATATTCAAGGCAAATTTGCAAGCCATTACAATTTTGGAGCCATAATCAAATCAGTAAAAAATGTACTTTAACTAATTAAAATCACAAAGAATTTTGAACAAATCCAACTGCATTCATCAACCTATATTCTAAATAAAGGTTGAAGGAAAGTTGGTAGTATAAAAGAGACTAGAAGAAGAAAAAGAAAAATGGTAATTGGTGTAGTCTCTGATAGTTTACAAAAATTTGAACAGCTACATACTTACAAAAATGGTAATTGTCTCTCAGTTTCGACTAAAAATTTTGATGCTGCAACCTTAGTTCACAAAAACTAATGACATGCAATATAGGCAACTGAAGAAAGCTGCAGGAAAAAAAAAAAGAACTGTTTACACCATCAAGACAGCGTGACATGCATACAATCTCGAAAAACTTCCCAAATATGAACAAACAAAAAAATGGGAAAGAATGAGACCAAAAATTAAATAAAAGTAAAGGGAAGATGAAAAAACAAGATCTACAAAGGTGTCCCTGCCCACAGGGCTTTCCTATTGTTTTGGAAGGTGGAAAAGACCGAACGCCTCTGCTTCTTTGGTTTAGTTCCAAAGATGAATGATCTTAGAGGAATTGATGATCCGCTAGTTGAGTTATTAGCTTGTTGTTGATTTCCAGCAGCAAGTCCAAACTCTTGCTCTAACTTTGTCACCGTCTTTTCAACATCTTCTTGAAGTGTAGTTATATGATCTACACCACTTTCTAGTTCCTCTCTTACCTTGTTGTTATCTTGTTTCATATTCAAGACTTCACCTTGGAACTTTGCAGCTTGATGACTACTAAATCTGATCTCATCTTCTTCAGCTCCTTCCTTTAATGCTTTTGTAATTTCCTCCTGAATACTGCACAACGACGAGGACCTACGTTTCATTTCATCTTTCAACGACACACTTTGTTCTAACCACACTGCTAGCTCATTTTGAATTTCCCTCATGTGTTTATATATAGGCCTGATTTCTGATTTCATATCTGTTTTGGTGTTGTTCTCTTCTGTCTCCTTGTCTCTTAGTTTTGATATTTCACTCTGTAAATCTTGGACTGTTGTCTTGAATTTTTGTATCTGATGAAATGTTGAACTGAATCTTAGCCAGAAGTCCAAGTTTCCATCCATTATAACATCAATATCCATCCGGAACTTTTCCTCAATAGGCGAGAGAGATGCATGTTGATCAATCATAATCATCTTTGCATTATCATTATGATTATCTTTGTCTTCTGTTTCTTGAACATCCTTGGGATCAGATGCTTGCTGATCTTCTTCCTTCAATTCTTTGCTTTCGTTAACATTTCCTTGTAGAAGGTCCAACTTCCCGCGTAGGTTATTTATCTCTTCATCCCTCTTTGCAATAGCACTTTTAAGTTCTCTCATCTGCAGTGTGACTTCGAATTCAGTGTCCCTATCTTTCTTCTCCTTGTCGCTAAGCTTCCTCTTGACTTCCTTATAATTCCTGAGAACTGTTGTGTATTCTGCTAAGAGAGTCTTTTCCCTATCCTCCAACTGGATTGACAGCAGCTGCTGCCAGTTAGGCTCGTCGCCCTTCTCCTCGTCTTCATGTGGTTGTGTCTCATGAACAGCATTTTCTGATTGAGTTGAGACTTTCTCATCAGCTTTTTCAACTTGCGTTTCTATACCTTCCCCTTCTTTTTTACTGACAATTGTGCTAGGAGATACTTCTTTTCTAACTTCTTTATCTTCTGTTTTCGAGATACTTAAGTTCTTGGGAGCTTCACTTGCACTTTGTTGAACTTGCTGTTTTGCTGGATCTTCTTGAGACTTGATTTTAACAACGGATTCCTCTTCGTCTTGGAGCTCCTCATCTGGTTTCACACTATTCAATTTCTCAGCTAAATAGTCAAGACTCGTACGAGCTGTGTCAAAGTAAGTTTGAAAGCTACTGTTTTGATAAGCAACATCTTGATTCAGGTTTCGGATGCCATGCAACTTATCCTCCATTGCTATCACGCTGATTTTCAGATTGTGTTTATTATCCTCTGTTGGAGCTTCCTTATCCTCTTCCAAAATCTGAATTTGTGACTGGAGGTCATCGGCTTCTGATCTTAATCTATCAATTAGAACAGTTTGAGCTGAAACTGCTGTTTCAAGGCTGACTACTTCATTCACAAGCTCGTCGATCTTCTCTGCTAGTTGTGTCACTGTTAGAGATGCCATAGAGCTTGTATCGAATTGCTCCTTAATCTTTTCCTGCAATGACTCGATCTCCTTGCTTAATTCTTGGCTTAGGCTCTGAGATTCAGCTGTTGCTTTAGCATTCTCATCTTCTGCAGGTGCCTTTGTTTCATCGATCTGATCACCAATATACTTATGCTTGAGAGACTTCAGTTTCTTACTAGCATTTTCAATCTTTTCGAATTCCTTGCTTGCTTCTCTTGTTGATCTTTCTTGTTTCTCCTGGAGCTGAGCCAATGTTTCTTGACATGATTTTAATGCTGCTTCAGCCATCAACGTACGAGCATCATTATCCTCAATAACCGGACCCTCACCAAATTCATCCTCAAGTTTACATATCTTTTGTTGCTTTTCCATGATTTGGCTTTCAATTCCCTTATACTTTGCTAGACCACTTTCATATGAACTCTTTACAAACTCTTTCACAGTTTGCAAAGCCAAGATATCCTTTTGAAGCTTGTCAATCTCTTCAAGAGCTTCACTCTTTGTTAAACCTGATTTTGGTACATTTTTACTTGCATCTTCTTTTTTGGATGATTTCTTGCCTTGCAGTTTCTTTGAAGCTGTTGTTATAAGACCTTTCAACTGTTTTATTGGAGCCTTTGGAACCTTAGGTACATTTGATCCACTTGATGTTGGAATTTGTGAGGAACTCTTTGGTATTTTCGGGGCGCCATATTCGTCCTCCTCCTCCATTGCTAGTTGAATTTGTTCAGGGAAAACAGCAGCAATGGTGGTGTTAGCAGCCTGCAATTCCTTTGACAAATGGTCATATCGTTCAGCCAAAGCGCGATAAGCACGATATGATTCTTCCACAAAGTTGATCAGCTCTGGCCTTTTCTTGTAGTACATTTCAGCCCTTTTGGCAAATGAATCTCCATCCTCTTCAATGAGCTTAACCACACTCTCCACCTTCTCTTGCATATCTATTTATGCCATAAATATATCAGAGTTGTTTTTCATACTCAACAGGAGAAACACTTGTATATAAGCAAGAGAAATATTACAAACTAAATAAGCAAGAGAGAGAAGGGGTAAAGTCTGCGTACACACTACCCTCCCCAAACCCCAGTTATGGAATTTTATTGGGTCGTCGTTGTTGTTGTTGAAATATGCAAGAGAGGACATATCAAACTTTGCACATGAACAATGTAGTAGAGGGCACACAAAAGACAAATAACACACTTACACCACCTTCTCCTTAAGGGGATGCAATATAGTTTTCATAATTATTTATCTTAGGGGATTTCTTCCTAGTTTGAAATTGAGTGAAAGTGGAACAAGACATGTATCACTATATAAGAAAAAAGGACATTTATTGCATAATAATCCCTCCGTCTATTTTTACTTGACTTGGCACACCCCTTAAGAAGCAATTAATAGAATGATAGTTTTACTATATCACCCTTAATTATAATATGTTGGGAAATAAATTGGAAATGATTAGTAATACTTAATAATAAGGGTAGAATAAGTATAAAATAGTAAATTATTCTTCTTTTCTCAAATGGATAAATAAAGTTGATATCCTTATTAGTACAATGAACAAGTAAAAGTAGACAAAGCGAGTAATAATTTCACCAAATTTTAGCATTAGGCATAACTATTTCCGGTTAAAAGATCTTAGCCTTATTATGGGCTGGAATCCAAGCATAGTACACAAAGACACATGTATGATATTCTCTCTTCTTCTTATTTTTTTTTCTTTTTATCGTGGTGGTGTTAGAGCCAATAGCTTTATGTGCATATCAATTGTACTGTAGACAACATATTACCTCCCACCAATATAGATATCAAATAACTTTGGATAGATAGAAATCACCAATTATTTTTTCTCGCGACTGGGTTTGAAACCTTGATCTCCTATCATATTTGACCTTTGTACTCATCACCAAATGCTATAGCATATTCTAAAATATCTTCAACAACAACCCCATGTAATTCCACAAGTGGGGTCTGGGGATGGTAGTGTGTACGCAGACCTTACCCCTATCTTTTGAAGATAGAAAGGCCATTTTTGGGAGACCCTCGGCTCAAGGAAACTCTAGAATATTTTGAACCTCCCCTATATTTTTGATTTTGTGGTATCCAAAAAATTCATTTTTATTATGCTTTTTTTCTTGATGAATGCTATGAGTTTTTCATATAAATATTTGTACCTTGTAGGCTCTGTTCAAGCCATTTGGATTGCTTGGTCCTAATGTGGCTAGCTGCCCACCATGAATATGCATTACTTGCAGCTCTTTGTAACATCTTGTTAATTCTTGATCCTTCCTCTTTTCCGCAAATAAAATAACAATATCTTAAGAAGGGGAAGAAGAGTTTCAAACAGGGAAAAAAAATGAAAATGAGAAAACAAAAAACTCAAAATTTCATCTTGTCAATTCTTTATCCACAAAAGCAACAATATGTAAAGAAGAGGAAGAATTTCAAACAGGAGAAAAACAATTAAAAACTCAAAATTGAAACAAAAAAGAAATCAAGATTTCTTGTTGGAAACTTCAATTAGAAATGACAAAATATGGAATAATTGTGAAAAGGAGAACATAATCATGGGTTCTCCACCCTTCCCTTATGCTTAATTATGAGTTTAAGGTTGAGAGCTCATTTCGCATAGTCAAAGTCATAGCCTGCTAATTTGCAAATAACGTGGCATACATTGGTCCTAAACAACTTGTCATTTTAACAAAGAAGAAAGAATAAGAAAAAAAAAAGGAATTATTTTGGGAAAAGGTTTTTAACTATTGACATTCATTTAACCTTGTTTTCAATTAGAAATTACTCCATCTCTTTTAAAAAGAGTGAACCTATATATATATATATATATATATATATATGTATATATATCGTTGAACTTGCAGTACATTTGGCCTTTTTTTTTGTGGTAGTTTACCCCATGAATATATTTAATAGGTTTTATTAGGAAGAATTAAAAGCTACAAAAAAGAATCACATATTTAGGATGCACTAGTTTTGTTTTATTTGCAAAAAAGAAAAGAAAGAAAAAAGAAATTCGCAAAAAATATGTTTCTTTTAATTTTGGTAGCTAGTAAATTTGTTATTCTTTAGTGATTTTTATATTTTCCTAGAAATAGTTAATTAGCATATTATCTTGGTATTTTTATTTATCCTTAAAATAAGCGAAAGAAAATCTTCAAAAAAGATGGAGTGTTTGGGGGGGGGGGGGGGTTCGGGTATTTGTAAAATTTAA